ATTTTTATTCTATAGTTTAAAAGTGTAATAAATATATTTTTTATAATAAAAATTATTAAAATAAATATTAATTTTAATATCATTATCATATCAATATATTTAATTAAACGATTGATAAATTAAATATTATTTTTTATTCTTTCAACACGCTAAACAAACCCTTATTCTTATTACGGGTTTTGTTTTGTAATCTTTCATGGTTAAACCCCCTTTTTGGTCCCTCAACTATTGTACGGACCCCCGATTGAGTCCCTCAACTCAAAAAATCCTTGACTTGGTCCCTACTGTTTACTATTTTAACCCCGACTTGGTCCCTTCGTTAAAAATCGCATGACGTGTCCTATTAATTCACGGTAACACTATGACATGTCAAAATACATGGAAGACAACATGGCAAACAAATAGTGATATGGAAAAAAAATAATAATATGGTAAAAAATATTAATATGACAAAAAATACTTAAAAAACTCTTCTTCTTTTTTTCCCTTTCTCCTTCCCATTCTCTTTCCATTGGGGTCATGGGTTCCTAGGTTCCAAAGAACCTAGGCGTTGGGTTTCCTTTGAACTTGACACTGGGTTCGAAGGAGCCCAACGCCTGGGTTCGAAGGAGCCCAACGCCTGGGTTCTACGAACTCGGTGCTGGGTTCCTCATAACCTAGGAGTCGGGTTCGAAGGAACCCAGGCCTGGGTTCTTACGAACCCGGCGCTGGGTTCCTTTGAACCCGACGCTGGGTTCCTTGGAACCCAAGGGTAAAAACTAAAAAAAATTTCTGTTTTTTGTTTTATTGTTTGGGTTTTGTGTTTGATGATGAGAAGAATTGATTGACGGAGAAGGTAAGGCAAGGAAGAAGAAGAAAGGGCGCCTGTTGGGTTCGATTGAACCCAGCACCTGGGTTCCTTTGAATAATTGATGTTTGATGAGGAAGGAGAAGGTGATGTTTGATGAAAAAATGTATATATATATATATATATATATATATATGTGTTTTTGTGGATTTTGTTGTTTGATGAAGAATTGATTGATGAAGATGAAGATGAAGAATTGATCGACAAAGATGGCAAGGAAAGGAACAGGAAGGTGAAAGAGAAAGTGGAGGAAAAAAGAGAAATTTTTAAATTTTTATTGCCAAATCATTATTTTTTTCCATGCTATATTTCCACGTAGGTTTAATATTTTGACAAATCATTATACTTTCATTAGTTAACAATACACGTCATGCGATTTTTAACGGAGGGACCAAGTTAGGGTTAAAATGGTAAACAGTAGAGACCAAGTCAGGGATTTTTTGAGTTAAGAGACTCAATCGGGGGTCCGTACAATAGTTGAGGGACCAAAAAGGGAGTTTAACCTTCTTTCATTTTGGACTTCGCAAACCAAGATCAAATGGTTGGTTGGACCGTTTTTTAAGCAAGGTTATATCCCCGATTCAATCCCTCAACTTTCATTTTTGGACTAAAACTACCCTCAAACTTCAAAAAGTACTAAAAAAATCCTTATACTTCAATTTTTGGGACCAATTTTGTCCTTCCGTCAGTTAATTGCTGACGTGACAAAATTTTCAATTAACAAATTCAATTTTTATTAATATTAAATATTACTTGGAAATAAAATGAGTGATGTGGCATTTTTAATTATAAAATTATTGTGATTTGGCACAAAAATATAATTTAATAAATAAAAATTTCTTTT